TTGGTAACACGACGGTTGATGTCAGTGGCAGGAAGGCTACGGGTCTTTTTCGAACTCTCACTGCACACCTCCTCAACGGTAGTGACCACAATCACCGTATTTTCTTCTATTGCACACTTAGGAATGAGCTGAGAGAGTGCCGGCTTGACCGAAATTCTCCGTGCGACAGAATTGCATCACGAAGTCGTAGTCAAGTACCCTATGACCACTACCGCCACACTTACTTGTCTCTTGCGCTCCTTCAATCAACGCGGACTCCCAGAGGTCCTTGTGTCCGACAACAGCTCTCAGTTTAAGTCCACGCTTTATGAAGCTTTCTGCCACGGTTACGGGATCAGCCACCTTCCTGAACCGCCCTATCATCCCCAGTCTAATGGGTAAGTGGAACCATTCATGCACATTTCCAAGAGAGTACTCAAAGTCACAGAAGGAGGGGACAGTGGATGCAATTATCCAGATCTTTTGTTCGCTTACAGGACCACACCGAATTCAGCGTCTCCTGGTAGCCAATCACCTGCCGAAGCTTTGATGGACCGAAAGCTGAGCACCACCTACGAATTGCTCCTCCCAACCTAGGTGCCTCCAGTACGACCTGCAGTTTCCCACAACCGCAATCGTTTCGTCCTTAGAGATCCTGTGTATGCACGCAACTAACGAACAGATCGCCAAAACTGGACCGAAACGACAACTACCTCCCACTGTGTTATGTGACATCGCCATGTCTGATGACACATTAGTTCGTCACGGTAACAAACTCCGACCGAGACCCCAAAGGTTGTTGGTTACAGAAGACCATTTATGCAGGAAGTTGCCACTACACATATTGATGGACATACTCTAGATCGCGGAGGAGAAACCGGTCCCAGAAACGGCTACCCAACCAACTGGGAAACCCGACTTTCCCCGCCGTCGCACAGGACGCATTCGCAGAGGATCAACAACGCTGCAGGTAAACCATCAAAAGCGGTACCATCAAAATCCAAAAGTAGATGCTACAGGGCTTGCACAGCCCTGCCAAACTCACCCGGAGTTCACTGGCGTCAGTACACTATCAGGCCTGATAAACACGGTCACTACACAGTTCAGGGCGGAGCTCTCATCACCGAAACTGTCACCAAGGGTCCACTCATCTGCGCGTGGGAAACAACCAGTGGAAGAGTTTGTCCGTTCCGACTAGGACAGGCGAAACTTAGACGTATATACATATGTTATACTTCTGCCCCTCCTCAGGCCCCCTGACGCCCGATGCAGAAGCCTAGCCGTTGTTGCTTCAATGCCCGATCCAAGATTTAAATCGCATTCGGTGTTCGACTTCATGTTCTGGACAGCCCACCGTATGATTTTCTCGCTCTTCCCCATCGTATAAATCATTTTTACTGTTGTAATAACCTCACTCACTTTATATATCTCGAGATCGTATGAGTGCATCCTTAGAATGCCAATTTCGCCTCTTCTTTCACCGCACCGTTCTCCTGGAACTCTACATAACTTCGCCAATGACATGCGAGTGACACTGAGATGACTACATGGTAGACGCACCAGCACGATTCACGAAGCGATTTTCAGTTTCCGGGTCTGGCAACAAAGTCGCGAAGCGCAATTAGGTGCCTAGATTACGAGCACCACATTGCAGAGACGCCATCCGACCACGAGTCGTAGCACATCGTTGATGCAACCTCGGGCGGATCACCAGAAGTGAAGATTAAACTTTGTTGCCAGTTAAGCTGTGTCCATTAATCAATCGGAGCACAAATTTCGTGAGCAAGTTCAACATGACAGTTTCCAGTGCCTAAACCCTTTTCTGGTTGCGCCGGGCTGGAACAGCGTTACGCGCCATCTTGTTCAGGTCCTGGACGTAACTTAAACCAGTTTCCAGCCAGGCCGCGACTTGTTGAACAGCATAGGAACCGCATAGCTCATTGAATTATTTGTTCCATCGAATAACGAACCAGTTGACAGAGGACAGACCAAACCTTGCAACATACAGAAGCCTGCTTTACAAATGTTAAGGACTTCAGCTAGTCGGCTGACCCGGATGTATTTGCTGGAAACACGCGGCACTGCTTGCTGGTCTACCGATCCGGTTACTGTCCATTCCAATGAGCGTTTAACAGCGAATGGATGAGTTCTTCCACACAAACGTTGCTCCAAAAGCCAACGAGCAGCCGGTGCGTCAGTCCCGTGCAAGATCTTCACACGGTTATCTCATTGTTCTTCAAACTGCTTGCCTTTCAAATCGGCCCGACGACATTCTACAGTTCGATTAGAAACTCTCTCAGGCTGCAAGTGCGAATTTCACAGGCTGTGGACTAGTCCATTCAACTACGTTAACTTCTGCACGACTTGCATCCAGTGACGGGGTACCGGTCGTCGTCGTCGTCGTCGTGATATTCCAATAACTGGATTGAGATTCTGTGCTAGCTTCGCACAGCACGTTGTCTTGCATCAGTGTTATCTCCGATCCCCAATCCAGCTGGGTATACCTTTCAGCCGGTTGACGCGCAAACATCATTCGCAACCGTACCTTTTAGCGCGAACCGAAAGCAGCGCAACAGCTACATGCCTTTGGCGGTAGATCCTATCCGCGATATAGGTGAAGTAGTGGATAATGCCGACGGGTACAGTATATCTGTTCATATCTTCCTTTCGAAGTGAAGGCAGCTGCAAAGTGTCCTTAGCCGCGACACCTGTAACATCCTATCTTCCACTTCATAAGTTTTCACCAACCGGGCACCTTATGAGCCAGAAACTCTGCACACCACAGTTTCATGTTTACCTTTACAAACTAGGCAGGGATCCTTCAACATCACCGACATCACGCGGTGCTTAAGCTATTTTCTTACCTGCGGGAAAGGTGGACAGTGTACGTTGGACGGTCGCGCCTCGGTGGCTACTGCGATCTGATTAAACTTGCTGCCTAATATATTTTTGTACCTGGTTTCGCCTTATTTTTGAACGATTGCACACGCCGTATTCTCGGGTAAAATTCTTTTGATGGTCGGCACTGAAGTAACATTGGGCAGAAAGCCCATCTGGGACAGCGCGATGTGACAATTTCCAATGGTCAAAGAGGGACAAGAAAGCGATTCCGACTTTTGGCCTAGTGACCTGAGACTCGTCAATAATTCGTTCAATAGGCATCTGACTAGTGGATGCGCATTGGCCAGTTATCTCCCAGCAACTAACCGCTAGTTTTGAGATTAAATGCACTTTTTGTGCAAGCTAGGCCAAATTTTCGAGTTCGAGAAGGGGAGCTGGTTACACCATATGATTTCATGAGTACAGGTAGTGGTAAGATAACCTGGTCGCACTCGTGTCTCATTTTCACACTGGACCTGATGTCCGCTCGCACCACCCATCAACTCATTATCTGTAGGAACGGATGCAATCACTCATTTTGTTTGAGCACTTGGTCCGAAGCAGGTCCTGATCGAATTCAGGTAATCTTGTGCGTGTTACCCAGCTTACTCTATTTCATCTATACACTGCTTCCTAATACTACTGACTAATACCTCGACTAGAAAGCTGATCTTCCACTCTCCACGGTTTGTAAAAAATTGCACTTCCGTTACCTGATCGATTTGTCATCATACCGGTCCTGTTTTGAGCTACACCTCGTCACCCAATACTGGTTTGGTTGCTCGTTTGACCCAAGTAGTATTTGACACAGCTCCGATATCAATAGCTTCGCACATTTCGTGCATCCCACTTCCTTTTCTCCCTGTTGTCCATGAGGAGTTTGATTGGGGTTATTTATATACCGTTCTCTGCCATTCTGTCATTGTTTTATTGTCCTATTACTATTGTTTTTCCTGCCCTTATCGGTGCTAACCAGTTCGGCATACAATTTCTCAGACAAGTTATCCTCCAGGTACCTCAAACTAATCATTTTCTCTCTACTTTCCCGCTTCCACTTCTAGGCTCCCTTGAAAAGCGTCCTCATATACTTGGACCCGCGAGTTACTGAGTGATTGTTGTGGCACGTTAAGCCTCGTTTTCTGAATGTTTGCTTCACAAGGAAACACCTCCAGGTGCACATGGCATGTGTACCCTATTCAGCATCAACAAACTATTCCTGCTATCCCCCGAACAGCTCGTCAGTGTGGACTGTAGATGACTTTCCTGGAGTACTTAGAGCAAGAGCAATGGCAATAGTCTACATACCCGCATTGCCCTCACTGGATAGTTAACTTCAATAAACCATTAAAAGTTCCTAAATGGTTGCAAGAGAATCGGGGTGACGTGATTTTGGGTGGCGTTTGAAATCTTACACTTATTCCTAGGTGATCACTGTCTAGAGCCGGTCGAGTGGTTTACGGAAGTACCACTTTACGGGTGAACAAATTTTTACACTTCCAGCTGGTAATACCTAACATTTGTTACAGCTACTATCTCAATTCAACGAGGCTCACTTAGGCCTAATTTGCAGTATAGTTTGAGGTTGTGTGCCACAATTCCCTGACACAGCGAGTGATTCAAAGGTAACCACAACTTTTCATTCTTTTAGTCGTGTGAATGAGCAGTCTCGGGTTTCATTCCGTTCCCTACTACGAAACTTGCCTGAACTCTTTCACTGGCCAATTTCATGGGACTGATTCTTCTTACTCAATAAGGATTCGTCCGGTGATGTTGGTCTACCTGTTTATAAAACCACTACATTCGCCTGGTGATACTAGTGGATCCTAATCGTTTACTGTCATGCAATCCGACCTAGGACTGCAGTATCCATCTTAAGTCAAGCTGTCGAGCACTGTTCTTTGGTCAGTGGCATAGCAAACCTACTTAAGGTGCAAAATGTTTTGACTTCCTCCAGACAGTGAGACCAGACGTTTCAGTTATGTGACCTGCCCTCATGAATCAGTTGCACACTCTCTTTGACCTGGTTTTTCTGGACATAAACGGAAGTAACATTTTTATGTTCCACTGCCTCAGCTTATCGATGGTCATTTTACACCTTCATTATGACCTTATGTGCGTTTTCTCTCTTTTCTCCATATCAGTACATTTGGAAGGCATAACGCGCAATTCTGACGTGCGGCTGGGTACGCGACGGTCGCATGTTAAACCAGAGGCAACTGAGTCACTCCCAGCAGATAGACCCTATTCTCCTGAACTTAAGCCGTCTGCTAGCAGTCCGAGTTTTACGATGTTCGACACTGCATCCGCTGATACGTATCCGCGTTTTCACACAATTGACGCGCACAGGGAATCCATCGAAACACGAATTTCTCAGGAGGACGTGGATAATGAGGAAGAAGAGGATGAATTGCAAGCAAAGGAGGAGGAAGCAAGGCAAGACGAGGAATTGTCGGAGGATCTGAGTGAAGAAGAGGCTGGCCTGCAGCAGGCTGAAAAGGCGGAGCGAGCCGAACTACGGAGTGTGTTGATTCGACGCTTGCGCCGACTCTCCATCGCATCCTCTTCGTTGAGAACTGCACTCCCTCCACGCCCCTCTAGACGGAAATTGAATCCGCCGGGCATGGGCACTGATTCGGAAGAACGTGTATTGCCGCATTCGCCACAAGCAACCGGTCCCGGCCCAGACACTCGCTTCGATTCGAGAGCAAGCGGCCGCGTTGATGCCACTGGTGAACAAATTGATGATCAGAGCTTACGGGTAATTTTTAACCCAGTGGCTTCTCTCGGTTTACGTTTTCTCTGCTCTCGAACACACAACTTTTGCTTTGGTCATGTCTTTTCGAAACCGCCGTCGTTTTCAGGGCCGCCCTTCCACTAAAACATTGATCTAACTTCAATGGGTGTTACACTAAGTGAACTTTTCGGCAGTGTTCCTCCCTGCCACTGTGTTCGACGATATTCGGAGATTCAGATCGAATCCGTGGTGTGTAGGGTTTACTTACCTATATGTTTGATTGTATGTCACCGGGCTACGCTTTTCATAGCAGATTGGACTTGGATTACCCGGTGTTTGTCTCAAAGTAAATCGCGGTCGCCATTGGAGTTGGTTGCCTCAATCCACACATAACATGTACTATAAACCCAAACATATTCACTGGCAGCTTCTTAGCTCAGTATTATGCACATCCTGTCCACTACTGAGTCCCTTTCCAATAGGTTAGTTCCATGGAAGATGCTTCCAATGCTTCGCTCAAGTATTCAGAGCATCCAACGTCACTTTGATCAACGAGACCAACAAAGACGGACAGCGAAACCGTCTCCACTGGTCTTTGACTCAAACATTCACTGACTTGGAGCGCCTGCGATTACGTTGACCCACGTCACTTTCGAACATTATTTGTGTCCATTTTTAGAAACAATAATACTACGAATGGCAACAGATTTACGTGGTCTTAGACCCATTTCATCTCGCGAACAACGTTCACGTAGCCAGGTTCCATTTGGTGTTCCTCGTGCCTCCTGTTATTTCTTTGCATTTCTGAGGCTTCACTTAATGGATTTCTTGCTGAGCAACCATTCCACTAAGGAATTTGGTCGATAGACGCATGAAAACTTCTGTGCAACCACTGCAGGTTATGCGTGTTTACACTTAGGCTAAGTGCGATGCCAAAGGGTGCGACTTATACAGTCATCTCTCCGACGACATGCAAAACAGGTGGACTCCACCATATGGTGCTCATGCTCCTGACCCACGCAGTAGCACAGATCGCTCTGCATGGTTTCACCTATTGCCTTCAACCGATAGCCAGATTTTTCGTTGATCCCGTTGACGACTGGGAATAGTTAGGGAGCACACAACATTTTTCTATTCACATTGCCACCAGCGAACACTGACACTTAACTAACCCACTTATACTATCGTAATCGAACGGGTAAGTTGGTGGAGGAATTCGCTACTGAGGGACGGTGAGCTCCGTCATACATACTATGGTCGCACACGCACTGCGATAAGGGATGAACTGCGCCTCCTCCTCTATCCAGTCGTCTAAATTACTGGCATCTAATAGCGCCCACAGGTTCCCACTCAAGTGCATCCTGAGGGATATTATCATCTTAGAGCTCTATTTTTGTCCGAGTGTTTGGTAACGGCTCCATATTATCTAGCTCTAATATGTCCCGGCTGTATTGCTAAAGCAATACAACCGGGACACTGAACACTCAGGTTTACAGCGTTGTAGTCATCCTTCTGAATCGAAGTAAATGGCTCTAGACGAACTACTCTACAAATGGTTGTCGCACCGTGGGCTCACTGTTATTGCGTCAGGACTTCGAAAGTTCCTGTGAAAATAGTAGCCACTTTCACTTGTTTGTCCGGTCTCAATTCACCTATTGGAAGGTATTCCATCCGTTTCTGTGCCTCATAGGGATCTTGTAATCCCGGCCACCCTTTTACATAAGCGACTTTTTTCTAGACGATGTAGCGATGACTCACTACGAGTATTACTTGTCCGCTGGCACCACTACACCGATTTACCAACTGTGTACCCATGTTCCACTAGTATCTTTGTTACACTCTAACGTAAGTGGGTTACGTCACCTGCGTGCCCGTTTCTGACTCCTGTTTCCACACACTGTTTGAATGCATTTTGTGCGAGTCGAACATAACCTGACTAGAAGCTGGACTTGTTTTCCCTGGAATTATTTCAAAAAATGCTTATTTCTATAAAACTAAGGCACTTATTTTAAGCTGAAGATACGTCTATGACATAATTTCCCTTTTATGGTACAGACCACTTGACTCACCTAATCAAAATCGTTTCTGAAGTTCCTCACCTTGCCGTTGACACATCGAGCACGTGATTTAGCGTTTCCGGAGCCCACGCATATGAACTACGTTTTCGTGGTTGTAATTGCTATTGGATTGCTTCACCTTTAGGTTTTGCACTTGGTTCCGTTACCATTCAAGTACCCTAGAATTTCACAACTTTTTGCAGCACTCTGGATACCACAAACTCTTAGAAACTGAGACCATGCGGATTCTCGGTAGGGGAACTAGCTACTTACCTTCACGTTTCCTGCGGTGTGCATGCCAACGGTGTGTCACCTCGTAGAGTATGTCGCAGTGTGTAACACTGTATCTGCTACTCGATGAGCAACTCTGTGTTCGATTTCGTACTGTTTTTATTCATAAACCCGATGAATTGTATGCAATGTATGGGACTCTTATGAGTCAAAACGGTCTCCTTTCTTCATTCTTTGGCAGCGGGCTCCCTCGATTTTGCACGCAGACCATCGCGGTTTGGAATTCTCAGACACCGCGGTCGATGATCCGACTGCGTTTGGCCCAGCAGACGTGGGTGATTTTTTGTCTCACAACGCTCGAGAAGAAGATGCAATAGACCCAGACTTGGATTTGGATCTGTATTCCCTCGCCACCCGAACGTCCAGCCTTCGTTGGAGTACAGAATCACAACGTCTCACTGACTCGGTTCCTACTCCCCTGGAAGACACAAAGATTCGTGATCCAAATGCCGATGACGAACCACTTTGAATGTAAATATACGCGTGGCTGGCTGTAGAGCCTTACCTTAGATGAAGCAGATCTATGCGCATACCTGTTGCACTCGCCAGGATGTTAGCCCCCTTTGCACAATCGCCTACGTTACTTCAAGTTTATCACGGCAACATCAACCGTTTTTTGCCGTTCACGTGTGCTATCGATCCTCTATCCGTTTGGTTCTGCAGCCTTTTCCCTTCCTTGTGCTCCCGTGCTCAATCACACGCCCTTAAAAACGCCTTGATGATCTTACCTAACTTGGCCGGACCCATACCCCAACTGTCCAGTTGTAAACTTTCTCTTTGAGAATGTCTGGCTCCCCTCCCAAGCCCGCTGTTCTGCATATCACTCACACAATTTTGCTGGTGTGCGTCGTTTTTGTCACCTTCATCCTTTTCAGCTCACCCTTTCCTCAAGTCAGAGAAGAGATCGCACTTGTTTTTCCGATCACGTGGTTCATACGTCATACAATCGTAGACCTATTTTTGTGCCTTGATATGACCAAGATTGCTGTCGTTTTTCTTCCATTTCTCAAGTATTTTATCCCCAAGCGACAACGTTTAAATCGGATCATCAGCTTTTCATCTGTACCTGTCGTTTGTCCATCGATTATTCCAATCTGGACCGGTGTTGAAAACTGTGTTGTTTGTAAATCAGAGTACTTGAATCGGGACCACGCGATTACATTCGGTTCACCTTGGCTTTGATGGGATCCACATTAGCGATACTGATGTCGTGATCGTACAAGTGGTCAATTACATAGCTACTCATAAGTAGCACGAATCAAACGTAATTTTGTAGCAGACCATTTAGAGCAGGGGTTCCTAACCTGGGGGTATTTACCCCCAATCGGGTACAATCAAATTTTATAGGGGGTAAATATTAGTACGATGATCTGGTCATCAATCTGTCGCAAAACGAGCTTAATACTAGGAAACTCATCCGTAAGAAAACATGTCACTAACTACCTATGCACTTTGGTTAGCCAGCCCCCTAAGTATGCATGCGGCGCAACTGAGCAGTCGTGTACCTGCGCGTTAGGGCGGACCTGAAGAATTTGTAGTCCCGAAACGCTGGAAGCTGAAGAGAAGTTTCTGCATAGCACCTAAGTGTTGAATGGTTATCCCTACAAGTTCATCGATGTACGCAATAGACTCCCCAAAAAGAAACTGCGAGTGCTAACGGCAGAGAAAAGCAGTTCATCTGTTTCTGCCGTTCGAGACCATGTAGTAAATGACATCAGACACAAGCTCAGGTCCGCCCTAACGCGCACGTACACGACTGCCCAGTTGCGCCTCCTGCACACTACAAAGAAAATGGTTCTTCATAACCGTCGGAACTACACTGCAGCTAGTTCGACCTATCATGTGGTTTATCAGCTCAACTGCAGTTGCGTGACGTGTACCCAGGCAGAACTAACCGTCGGTTGGCTCAGTGGGTGGCTGAACACGCCCAAGTGGGTGGAACCAAGAATAACGTAACAAACCGGAGCGCCCCTCAGAGTGAACCGCATTCCGTCATTATCTAACACCAAGCCCCTCGTAACAACTATTCACAATGTGGACCCGTAGTCTGCATTCAAAGTGCTATTACGCAATCGGAACCGGATTATCTTGACAATTAGTAAAGCGTTGCTAATTAGGGCCTCTCAACCTGTGCTATGTACACAGAAACTCTTGAGGCATGCACTTAGATTGCGTTGGTCTTGGTTGTGACATGTTGATTGGTGTGCCAATTTTCCCCTGTATATATTTGCCTATATATATGCTTGTATTGTGTATGCGACTGAGGAGAATAATCGAAATGTTGACCTATCGCAATCTATCTCTTCGTTATGCTTTGCTGAAGTGCATGAAGAGGACCCAATGTTTTACGAAAACAATAGCACTGGATCTACTAAAGTTGGTGCACGACTTACGATGCTTATTAGCCGAAGTTGCACCAAATATACAGGAAATTGTTAGCGCTAAGGAATATCAACCGTCTCATTGATGTATATCGCCTCTTGATTACATACAATGTTGTACCAAAATAATTGTTTTCTTTCTTCTATTAATTGTGAGTAATACCAAACACCTATCACTTCCCGTAATTAGAAAGCGCCATAGTCATTTGTTCGTTTGTGTTTGAAACGGAATTTTGGGGGTTGATTATAGTAAACGGGATTTGTGAGTAACCGCCTCAAAAAGGTTAAGAACCGCTGGTGTACAGCAGCATACGAAAACATAAGTGTGATCTTGCTTTCTAACAGCACCATACAAGTCGCATCCAGGACAGGGGCAAGAATACTTTAGACAAGACACTTAATGAAGCAACATCATGTCTTCTTTGCACTACATTCAGATGAGCGAACCGACGTTACATCTTGTTCCGAGCTACTTGTTTATGTTCAGTGTGACGGCTTCAAATAAGGCGCTTGTTCTCAGAATCACTGAGCACCACTACACGACTTGCTATGTGTATTAGCCGAAACGACACCAAATACACCAGAAACTGTTTCTTCACTCCTTGGATTTAATGAAAACTTGCTCAGAAATGGGGTTTTTATTTATTTGTGTCATCGAAAGTAAAAATATATAGCATTCATTTCGCGTACTTTAAAGCAAAAGTGCTATAGTTAGTAGATAATTGGCTTTTGAATGTTTGGGGAGTAACTACTCATAGTGAACCGGCTTTGTGGGTAACGGCCTAAAATGGTTGGGAACCACTGATTTAGAGGCAGAGCGGGCGAACTAATGCTGGTGAGAGCATGCACTTCGTATTACCTGGTCCCTTTCACTAATAATAACCGGTATACGATCTTTTTTAACAGTGGGTGCGAATCGATAGTCCTGAAAAGCAAATGAACCTAGTTCAACCTCTTAGTACGTGATAGCTTGAGGCCGTCAGGTTGTTCTCAGCGCAGGTGGCAGCCAAAGAGGAACATAATAAGTTGGGATTAGGGTAGAGCAGCAAGATTTTGAATACCGAATCGAGCTTCGTCTGCTGAAGAACGAGCTGTAGATGTTTGCTTGTCGAGGACGCCCGGTGCCCACGCAACCACAATGACAGAGGAGTTATGGTGCTATGCGGTCTCACCCTGAACCCACTAAACCGCGTGTTCCTTCATTGCCTCATTGATCCTGCCTGTGTGCCGGAGCCCGTATTCATATACGAATTTGCATATGCAATATGAACCATTCTTGCTTGACTGAGTTTCTTTCGCTGTGGGCACCGTCAAATTTCGGCATCGTTTTATGATAACGCTTTGAGCTGCATATTAGCTTATGCGCGATGTAGAAGCTCTACGCTTAGTCGCCGTCAGCATGACGAGATCACTCGCGAAACTTCAGTCAACATAAAGCTTTTCTTAAATTCACTAAGTTCAAAGGAATTCAAAACTGACTTTTCTTCATACCTTATCGAATGTTCTCTATGAGTCGAGGAATATGCTCTTTATTTATTTACTCAACTCCAGTACTTCTCCAAACAATCGGCCAAGTGAATCCAAATGGTGGTGCCAACGGAATTTTGCGTAACTGTCTGCTTGTGCCTCACGATCGTGACATTGGTGTAGTGCAGATACTGCCAAGACTATACTGATTCCCTGTAGACGCTCCTCTTAATGAATCTGTCCTCCCTGCGACTGGTAAATAGGTCCGAATACACCGGGTGGTTTTTCTGCTCTACCTCACTGCCGACCCGCAAGTCTGCATTCACATCGTTTTTGCTCAACTATATAGAGCATCCGTTGTCCTGAGGAACATAGGCTCAAGGCGTCCTCTGCTTCGCACTGATCACACGGCAACTGAGATATCCCTGTAGATATACCACCTTCTATTAGCAGAATGAGGGAATTAGCCATTACATGCCTCAATGGATTGTCAATTTTCACCCCATCGATCTGGTGCCACGATTTTATGTGCAACCGAAAATTAGTATCCTCTGCGCAACAGCATTTAGCTAATGACTTATAATGTACAGTCGTACGTCGGGTGAAGCCAGTGCGGTTTGTTAAAAAGCCATCGCGAATCGGCGTTAGGTCACTGTAGAACAGGGAACTGTCTAGCGGAGTTTGGTTGGACGGTTCTGGATACTATAGTGTTGTACCAATTCTCGTCGGCGTACGCCAGTCTGCGAGCGACTGATTACTCGAGTTCCTTACTTACTTCATATTTATGTAATGGTGTTGGAGGACTGTCTCTGTCCCTTCTCCATCGATCACAGCCCTCTACCAGGTGGAAGTAGCACTTACTGCTGTCATGACCGTGGGGCTCCAGATGTTTCAATCATTCGCTCGACATCATGCATTCTGGTCAGCTAGAGACGTTTTACCGAGAAACCTTCAAACGGACCTTGGGGATATGATTTGAAGGCGTGTCAGCGACGAACTCCCTTGGTACGTTTGAGAGGCGTATGTGCGGTCAACTCAAAGGCAAAAAAGGAACTGTGTAGTATGCACAAAGTTCATTAGTATTCGTGACGAACGTCCAAGTAACATATATTACCATGGACAGTCAATAAACTGGCGACAAGGCAGAATAAGTAAGGAGCGGTGTGCAAAATAATTGTTCCAGGTACGATGGACCAGAGTACGCAGTCAGTTGACCTGCCGCACAAGCACAATTCGCGCAACAACCGTGCGCAACACAGTGGTGTTGGATGCCATCAAGTATGGAGCACAGAGGACAGGGAAAGTGGGACTACATGCCCACGTAGATATGAGATGGGTGGCAGTGCGGCAGAATCCATTTGGGGAATGTGGATCAGGCATGTGGCAAAAATGGCACACACTACAGCTGATGAATAGATCCAATCTTTAATCACATCAGAAAGCTAACGGCTGGTGGCTGGGGTTTGGTGCGACAGGCTTAGATCTAAACACCGCGCGAAGCGGCGAAGCTGTTACCCAAAAACAGTTGGATTTGTTTGTAGATTTACTCTTGGCAAAGGCAAGATACAAGCGTCCTGCGTCGAACACACAAGCATAGGACAGTATTTGTACTGTGTACGGT